CGTTTATATACTGCGAGGGAAGGTGGCCTCGATAAACGAGAGAGCTCACTTTTCATATATATATATAAAATGTTGTTGGTTTATTTATTTAATTTAATTTTAATTTAATTTTATTGAAATATGGAATCACATAAAAAGAACAAAATTAATAAAGAGAAAAAGAGAATGCTGCTGCAGCAGCATGATCTGTTGCATTGTAGTAATAATTGTTGTGTGTGTTTATCAAATATTGTGATATTTGATAAAGTGCATGCATATATATTGAACACCCTCCAATATATTCTTTGATTCGCTTTCCAACACCAATAAAAATCCCTTCTTTATTTTTATTTTTATTTTTATTTTTAATTTTAATTTATCCCATATGATCAAGATTATTATAAATTGCTTAATTTGATAGGCTATTTAATATTTCATGCGTACGTAAACATAATTGATAGGAAAAAAAATGAAATTAAGTTGCATTTATTTCCGAGCCATGGAAGAATCTTTTACTAAGCATATGTAAGTGTGTTTACTCGTTCCGTAAACCTATCGAACACCACTGAATCGAAAATAAAATTTGGTATGTGCCAAATAACGAACCAAAAATTCGGTTTTCTTCGGCATTCGGGTAATATTTTTTTTTTTGTTTTTGAAGTCCACTATATTCGGTACGATATATGGTATTGATGCTCGGTTTACCTGTACCGGATACCGAAATATTTAATATATAATATATATTGGCAATTCTAAAGGAGTTTGCAACTATATATATATACGAGGTGATATAGTGTATAATTTTTGACAGACAAAGTGAATATTCTATGAAATTTAAATCTTGTAAAATGACCCCATTAAATTATTATAATCTCGCTTTCAATAAATCCCCACAGACCCACTCTCCAACAGTCACTATATAACTGAAAAATTGCGACTCCTTTTTCTTTATTTCTTTTGAATATTCTCTTCTCTTTTTATTTGTACTTGAAGCTATTGAGTTGTCGAATTATGTCTTACTAATTGCGAAAATTAAATTCTAATTAGGACTAATTTGTCATTTCACTTTAGTGTTAATATTTGCTCATTGTTTTGCCTATGAAATTGTGAAAATCAAGAAATACTTGAATTTAAAAAAAAAGAAAAAGAAAATTCTCCACTCACTTTAATGAGAATTTCATCATCATAATAATTAATGTATTTTAAATTATTTAAATAAATAAAATAAAATTAAATATTTTGCAGCAATGATGGAGTGCAGGTGTCCCACTCGTGTGTGTCAGATCGATTTGAATAAAATGAAGCTGAAATCGAAGCCGAAGAAGTTGCATGGCTGTAACTCCCAAGAACAACCTTTAAATTTCATTCCATTTTCTCTTTTCTCTACAATAAATTAATTACACATGTTGCCTATATATTTAATTATTTATTGGGAATTAAATTAAATTAATATTTATTTACTATAAAGATGACAAGAAACTAAAATTCATTAAATAGAAATAAACATATATATTGGTATATAGTGGTGGGACGACATTTTTAAATTCTCTCGATTTTGATAAAAAAAAAAATATTCGACTTTGGAATAATATTTTTTATTATGATTTTTTTTTTCCGAAAATGTTAATCCGATAAAAATCGTGTGATTACGAGGCTAAGTATACTTAACTCTTAAGGGGCCGGGGAAAAGTGGGGAGATGTTCAAATTAAAATTAAATAAAAGAAAGTGATAAATGGTATATATATATAGAGAGTTTCGATAAAGATAGTTTGAAGAGAAAATTAAAATTGAAGTAGTAGTCTTCGAGGTAGTCCAATTTGACCATCTTTTCTTTCAATTTATCTTTTCCTTTTTCCCCCCCTCTCTCTCTCTCTCTCTCTCTCTCTCTATATATATATATATATATATATATATATATATATATATATATATATATATATATATATATTACACTGCCATGGCTTTTTTGCTGTCACATTTTCCTTTTTTCCCCCTAATTAATAATCATCTTTAATTTATATATATATATATATTTGTGTGTATATGGTTTCTCTCTCTAGAAGCACACACAGAGATTGTTTCTCTCTCTATGATCTAGGTGTAAAGACGAGCATCAGCTAGCAGAAATATGAGAATGAATTGATGAGAGGGGAAAAGGGAAAACCCTAATTTGTAAGAGTATAATATGACCACCCACCATTTTCTTGGGGAGTGGTAAAGAAAGCTGTGGAAAAAAAAATTTAAAAAGAAAAGCTTATAAAGAAAGTGATTCGATTCCCTCTCCCTTTGCGAGATGCTTCCAATTTATCTCCATGCAACCACTGTAATTATTATTTTTTTTTTTTTTTTTTTTATATTTATATTTATACGTGTTTGTTTTACTGTACATGTGTGTGTCCTAACGTACACTTATTGTCTTTTTCCACTTTAATTAATCTCTAGATACTTAATCGACTACTAATTGGTGTTTGTTTGTTTGGTTGATTACAATCACTACCAACTACGAACAACGTCCTTTATGCTTCGAATTCAACTTAATCTTATAGATTCCGTGGAATGTCCTCTAACTTTTACTCGTTTTGTGTAAAAATGCAGTTTCAAATGCACCACAATCTGATTTTTACAAGCCAAAAGACATCTTATGATCATCTTGTTCAAAATGTAGAGCTCGAATGGGGTAAAACGGTACAAATTAGAGAAGATGCCATTAAATTTGACACCACATGGGTGGATTCGTAAGAAGACTCATAGTTGAGGGTGGTGGTTGTAATTACCCAAACATGATGGTTATTTCGTAATTTGACCTTACTCCAGGGGGTTGGCCGTAATTTACCCAAAAACAAAAATCTGATTTGGATTCTGTTTTACTCTGACTTCATCTCTTACAAACTTCATCTCTTACAAACTGGTATAACTATTGGACAAGTGATTCAAATTAATTTCCATACAAAATTTAATACAACTAGCATAACTATAAACAAATGATTCAATTTTACAAATTAATACATTATACAAAAAAAAAAAAAAAAAAAAAAATCAGCTGTCCATTGAGTTAGCTCAAAAAAGCAGGTTCTTTAGGTTGAGGAAGAGAAGCTGATGCATCAGTTCTAACCATGGTTACCACATCCAACATAGTCGGTCGATCCGCCGCTCGTTCCTGCACGCATAGTAACCCTAACTGAACGTATTGTGCAGCTTCAGTTATCGTACACGAGTTAGCCAAATTTGAATCAAAGAACTCGTCGCTTTTTTCCTCTTTCCATAGCTTCCATGCCTAAAAAAATAAGTTTTTCAAATTTTATCGTCAAATATATATAATTTCGATACATACCTTTCGATGAATCGATACATATAAGTATAGTTTACGGTTCTTACATAGCCGAGAAGATTAAGAGAATGATCCGACTCGAAGAAAGAAATATTCCGTTTGCCACTAATTATCTCTAGCACAATAATCCCAAAGCTAAACACGTCCGATTTCTCGGAAAAATGCCCGTCCATTGCGTATTCCGGTGACATGTAGCCACTAACACAAAGCAAAAGATAACAAGATTAAGGTTAATTATGGTAATTATTATTCTTGAAATTACGGAAATTAATTAACAATTTTAATTCTTACTATGTGCCAGCGATTTTAGTAGTCTTTGCTCGAGTTTCGTTATCCTCCCCGAAAATTCTGGCCATCCCAAAATCGGACACTTTAGGGTTCATATCACCATCTAACAGGATATTGCTCGTTTTAAGGTCGCGGTGTATAATCCTCAGCCGAGAGTATTTGTGCAGATACAGTACACCTTGAGCAATTCCTTCGATTATTTTAATTCGCGTTTTCCAGTCGAGTAATTTCTGCTTATGTACATCTGCATCAATAAAATGTTGAATACACTCAATAATTAAATATGTAAATTAAATTGTAATGCTCGGTTTAGAGTAAGTTTGTACGAACCGAAGATGAAAGAATCCAAACTTCTGTTGGGCAAATACTCGTAAACCAGGATGTATTCTTCTTCTCCTTGGATACAATAGCCCAAAAGTCTAACGAGATTTCTGTGTTGAACACGGGATATTAGTGTTACTTCATTCTTGAATTCTTTAACTCCTTGAGCCGATCTTTTCGAGAGTCGTTTGACTGCAATTTCTTGACCGTTCGGCAGATTGCCCTGAATAACTAAAATCGATTACATTCTAGACGAAAAAAAGTGAGTAATAGGATAAAAAAAAAAAAAAATCACCTTGTAAACTGGTCCAAAACCACCCTCACCGAGCTTGTTTTCGGTATCGAAATTTCCGGTTGCATTTTCGATTGTGCTAATGCTAAACCATGTTAAGTTTTGTTCTTCTCTGCTAAACTCGAGGTAGTCTATTGTCGGTATGTCGACAGTAGTAGCGTTTTTAGCTTCATCGGAGATTAATTTTACTTCTCCGTTTCTGCTAGATGAGTCGTCTCTGTTTTGGTTAACTGCCAATATCCACAAAAATAGTCATTTTAACATTACAACGAAACTGCATTTTTTCTTTCGTATTTTGAAATAAACAAAGAGGATAGGGACGAAAAGTCGAAAACCTCTACGGATATGTTTTTGGCGCCGTTTATATCGCCACAAGATTACAATTGCCATAATCGCCGGAGCAATTAGGATTATGAGAATTAATTTCAGCTTCCTTTTCTTTCGGCCTAAACGGAAAAACGGAGAATCGGAAAATTTACTTTCGAGTTGTTAGTAACAAGATTTAGTTCACAACAAGTTAAAAAAAGGCGTACTCTGCTTCTGAATTTGCGGCGCTACTTCATCCAAGCAAAAACTCGAATTAACCGTAATTTCTTCATCACATAACGAATGCCGAACTATCGAGAGCCTCCCTTTCATCACCCTATATTCATCGAAATGGCCCGTTGAAGCCATCACAAGCCACGAAAATTCATACCCACCGATAGTATTGTACGTCAGATAAGTCTCGTTCGGCGTAGACGTGTGGCTGAGATTGAAGCTGGCGAACGAGTCATTGAAAACGAATCTGAAAATTCCGTTTTCGTCCAACGAGCCAATATCCACGTGGGCAGTGTCCCCTCTCCAGACAGATAATATTCTCGCATCCTTAAGACCCGCAACCACGGTTAACGATCCACGAGAAGGGTTGTGCGGGCCCAACCACGATAAAAGAACCTGTCTTCTCGGCTCGTGACTCGTCAAACCGAACCACCCGAGTAAGTGTCGGTTGGGAAACTGAAACTCTCCCATATAATCTGATCTCCTTGTTTAAGAATAAGATTCCCATTATCGAGAAGTTCGGCGCTAGTATTCGAACTCGAGGCGAGGTTCCGAGAGTTGACTATCGTAGGTGCTTGTCGTCGATCGATTACTACCAAGTTGCCGTCGAACCTTATCGCGAAGACGTATTTTTGCTCCAACGGGTTGTCGCGATTGGCCACCCAAACGGGTTTTTTCTCCGGGAGATTCTTGAACCATATTCCGACGAAGACATTCTCGGAAACGGAGTTTTTGAAAAATCCCAACTCGAAAACTCCGTTAGCAGATACGAGAGTCTCGTTTTCTCCGAGGGGTTCGTTCGGCAAGATTGCGTATTTTGCATCGGACAACGAAACGGAGTAGTGTAGGAAGATAAAGCAAACATACCACATTGGCATAATTCAAGATTGATCAATATTCTTACTATGAAAATTTCATGGTAACAAATTGTCAAAACCATGCTCTTACTTAATTGTCTTAAAATTGACTTACATAACACAAATATTTAGCCACTTGACTTAAAATATACATTCTCCAAATTGCAGAATTTCCACAAGATAATAATATATATTGAAATTGACTTCTTCTTCGTGTGTTGACTTGACTCCACTTTTTAATTTAAAATAAAAAATAAATAAATAAAGAAAATACATATAAACTGGAACACGAGAAACAACGTTTTACGTTTTGTGACGGAAACTCGAAGACATTTGCAAGAGATCTTATAGGCCATTTGGAAGTTTCTAAAAAGTTAGAATAGCAAATTTTCAAATATTTTTGTTGTTTACTAGATTATTTACATGATTTAATGATCATCTGCAAATTGATAGTTGAGAGTAAAATTTATTTAGAATATGTTTGTATAAAAATATATAGAATATTTTATAAAAACTTGTATATGTTTATATAGAATATTTATAAATATACCTCTATACTTTTAATATTTACACGTTTCCCCATTTTTTAAACATGCCGTTTCCCGTATCCGTTTCCTCGTTTCCCTTTATCGCCGTTTCCCATTACGTGCTACATAGCTGAGCCAATTGATCGTCAGCTCAATTGTCTTAATATTTTTAGGTGTTGAAACATTCAATCGTTTGACTTGTTACACACACTCTGGTTTTCTAAGCAAATAAATAAATATAAATAAAATATTAACCTGTTGTCTGACCAGCAACGAAAGGTCCATCATCAATATGAAGAATTTCTAGAAATATATATATATATATATATATATATATATATATATATATATATACATTGGAAAAGTATTGCAAGAATTTATCTGATTCCTTCGCTCCCAGATGAGTCTGCATCAGCCATCATTAGGGCAAAAAGAAGAAAAAAAAAAAGATAAAAAAAGAGTTAGCGAGACTTAACCTATGATTTAATCCCACTTTGCACCCCTGAAACAATAGCCTTTTGACACTTTGGACCCTCCAAAATAATTAATAGCAGTTTGCACCCTTAAAATACAATAAATCATACATAATGCCCATCGAATTAATTTTTAACACTAATGAATGTAATTTAATATTTTTAGCACCACTTTTCTAAGATGTCAAATGTCAAATAATTTTTTTTTTAATTCATGAAACTACAATTCAATTCCAATCCCGGAGTTTTCGATTTTTGGAGAATATTTTTCTTTTTAAGTTCTGTTTTTTTTTTCTTTCAGATTTCCCAATTTTTGTGGATATATTTCTATAATTGGTGAATTAAAATATTGAATCTTCAATTTATGCCAATATACTACGAAAGAAATTCGATTTCGGAAAAAAACTCTTTTCATTCCAATTTTCGAAATGTTAACTTCCGATTTTTTTATTTATTTATCAAAATTGGAATTAATTTTTAAAAATTATACTCTTTCTTGGGCTGGTTATATGCAATTCCTAAATATGAAGCCATCATGTAATTTATTAGTGGGCCAAACCAACTGATTTTTCAGCCCAAAAACCAGCTCAGCGAGGCTGCCTTTTTCCCGCCATAACAGAACTGAAACTGCCATAACTGTATTTCCATCTTTTCATTATATTATCTTCATTTCAATATTAATAAAACTACAAAAAACAATCATCTGATTCACAATTTGCTAATCATCTCCAGGCGATCGATCAGAGAAGAGAGAGAGAGAGAGAGAGAGAGAGAGAGAGAGAGAGAGAGAGAGAGAGAGAGAGAGAGAGAGAGAGAGAGAGAGAGAGAGAGAGAGAGAGAGAGAGAGAGAGAGAGAGAGAGAGAGAGAGAGAGAGAGAGAGAGAGAGAGAGAGAATCAAGGTAATTTTGTAGAGAGAGAAAGTAAAAAATGCGTGCAGAAAATACACCACGGTTTCTGGATTTAGGCTTAATTTCAAGAAACTGAATATCCTGAACCCATCTTTATTTTTATATATGTATATGTAATCTGTATGCAATATTGTTTATGCGTATGTTTGTGAGTGTGTGTGTGCGTGTGTGTGTATCCTAAATTTCAGATAAGGGCACCAATAATCGCCATGGATGATCGAAACCCGCCAGCTGGAGATAACATCATTGAAATTATTGCCGCACGCTGCACTTGTGTGAACAAGAAATGCTTGATAGAGTAAGTACATCCAATTTTTTGTTTTTTTTTTTCAATTTTTTTTAATTATTTTTGGAGGCATTTATTTACTAATTGTACCTGTTTGTAATTTCGATCTCGTGCAGAGTCTGCTCGTGTTACTTTCTCGGAGAAAAATGCAGCGAATATTGTCCGTGCGAACAAGATTGCTGGAACAAATTATATTACGATTTTCTTCCAAACCGTGAAGAAATAATGGAAAATTTTATCGGCGAAGGATCAAGAACTACTCAAGAGAATAATAATAATAATAATAATAATCGTTCGTCTTTTTCCGTAGCCGAATCTTCAAGCAACAACACAAGTTCTAGTGAAGCTGGTGGTGGTTTTTCGGGGGGGTGCATGTGTATAGCTAGTCGATGTATGATACAGTAAGTGTCGACTCTTGATCGACTTTCTTGAATATGACGATGATGTGTGTGTGTGTGTGTGTGTGTGTGTGTATATATTTTGTGATTTGTTTTGCACGTGCATGCATGCAGGAAGTGTGGTTGTTTTGGTGTACGTGAGTTTTGCACACCAAAATGTGGGTGCAAAAGATGCATTAACAATGTCGAAAATAAGGATAAAGTCGAGCAAGCACGAAACGAAAGGGATACGAAGGGATGCCGTTGTACTGGGGATGTGCATTGTACAGACTCGTCGAAATGCTGGTGCAGTGGGGTAATTTAATTTATTTTATTAATATTTTTTTATTTATTTTTTTTGGTTAATTATCGGTTTTCTCTTGCTCTTATCGAATGAAATTAATTATATTGTTTTATTCTGAAAAAGGGCAAAAAGCCTTGCATAAAGGCATGTCGATGTAAAGGATGTCTCAATACATACGGTCGAAAACCACAACGAATTAGGTACGATTTAATTTCGACAAAAAGTACAATTTAATTTGTTGCGCGTAACTTTAATTTGTCTGATTAATGGTTTGTTTGTTTATTTCAGCTTGTTCAGTATGAGTGAAGAATCGAAGGCCGGTAGTAGTAATAAATGACGATGTTCGTACATCAAACAGATCGAGTTTTGTGTAATTGACAAGTTTTGCAAAGTATAATTAGTAGAATACAATATATTTCTCACTTTCAGCTTTTGATTTCCAATTCTGAAAATTCTCTATATTTCCGATTTTGGATTAAAATTGGAATATATATGTGAGATCGCGGTTTATTATCCCATTTCAAACTTCTCAAAATAGTTCTGTTAGTTCCAATTTTTTTTTATTTTCAAAAGTTACACATATATAATATTAATATCATTATATACTTTATATTGTAGGTGAACAGGAAAATAGAATTCTCGAATTTAGCCGATAACGAACGGAAAACAAATCGATATTGAAACAATTTATGATTTTCGATTCTTTCGAGTTGCTTTAAAAGGGAGTTGGAATTAGTTTTTCAATTTCCAAAATAGCGCTCACCAAAATAATTAATAGCACTTTCACTCACGAAACACAGTAAAACCGTTCAAAACGTAACCTAATTGATTTTTTAATTTGTATTAATCCTAGGGTGCAAAAAAAAAAAAAAGAAAAAAATCATTATCCTCCACATTTTAGCAAAATAGCAGAAGGAAGTAGGAACAAAGTGCAAAAGAAAACACACCTTACTAAATTACATTATTATTTATTTTATATCATAAGTCAATAAAATAAAATTTACAGCTGGCATAAAAATGGAAAGATGGGCCCTAATCCAATAGTTAGTGGGCCCAAACAACCATATTTAAGCCCAGAGAGGAAAACTGTATTTTCCCGCCATATCTCAGCTAAAACCCCCCCAACTGTATTTCCATCTTTTTTTACTTTCTACATATTATCCGATCGACGCACATGCTAACCAACTCCAGTCGATCAGAGAAGACGCGAAGAGAGAGAAAGTCGATAAATTCAGGTAATTTTCTAGAGAGAGAAAGTAAGAAATGCAGAGACACCATAATTGTTTCACGATCTAGTTTTCATGAATTTTTTTTTACTCTGCCACCGGAATCAATTGTGTTTGTATATACTGTGTATGCATGTTTAATGCGCGAATATCTTTAATTTTTGGTTTAATTTTGGGGGTGAATTTGAACATTGGGTAAATTAGGTTTTGATTCTGTTTTTCTTTCTCGCTCTGTTTTTTTGTTCTTTGGCCTGGTTCTGTATGAATTCTCAACTTCTAGATCGATACGGAGCTAAATTTTTTGTTTAATTCGTGGGTGAATTTGAATTATGGGTAATTAGGTTTTGATTCAAGTTTAGGGTAGCATTTGTGAAGGATTTTGATGTAACTTTTCTTTAATCGGAGCATAATTTCGGTTCGAAATTGAATAAGAGCTGCGAATTATCTTCGACAGGTGCGAAAACGAAAAACGGTTCTACCGAATCTGAAGATCCATGGAAAATCCAATCATGAAACAGGGACAAAGCTCTACTCATTTCACACATTGCAATTGTGGGGAATACTGCACAAAGTACGTACGTGTAAATTACTAGATTCCGACATTAATTCTTATCGCTTCTGATTAAACAAAGTATGTGTAACTGTTTATTAATTTGTTCTCCTCTGTAGATTTTGTGTATGTGTTGCCTATGATAAATTCTGCGGGGAATCTTGTCCTTGCAAAGATTGCTGGAACACTCCGCGAAACATAGTCGAAGTTCTCAGACGAAGGATCGAAACTCAGAATATGATTCATCAGTCCCTCGAGAGAAAATGTGCAGAGTTTGCAGTCGAAATCGCATCAAGCAATGAAGACAACAAGAAGACTGAAAGCGATGCCTTAGTGTCGGAAGATAGTTCTGATGATAATAATAACACTGCTTCGTCTAATTCGTTATTCGAATCTCCCACCAAACGTGCCAAGACATCTGCGAGTTCTATTGGAGTGCTGGTGCAGTGTGGTTGCGATTGTAAGGAGAATCATTGTCTGGGATTGTAAGTCTTCGATCCACCATTTCTTGAATAATGATTAATATATGTATGTATATATATATGTATGTATGTATGTATGTATGTTTGTGATTTGTTTAATTTCATCTGCAGTTGGTGTACTTGTTTTCGTACTAAGGAGTTCTGTTCGAAAAAATGTACTTGTCGAGAATGCTGTAACAATGAGAAACATAAGGAGAAGGTTATGATACCACGTGCTATAAAACAAGAAGAGATCTGCAGTTCTAGTGGAGTGCAGTGTGCTTGCGATTGTAAGGAGAATCATTGTCTGGGATTGTAAGTCTTCGATCGACCATTTCTTGAATAATGATTAATATATGATGTATGTATATGTATGTATGTATGTATGTATGTATGTATGTATGTATGTATGTATGTATGTATGTATGTATGTATGTATGTATGTATGTATGTATGTATGTATGTATGTATGTATGTATGTATGTATGGATGTATGTATGTATGTATGTATGTATGTATGTATGTATGTATGTATGTATGTATGTATGTATGTATGTGATTTGTTTAATTTCATCTGCAGTTGGTGTACTTGTTTTCGTACTAAGGAGTTCTGTTCGAAAAAATGTACTTGTCGAGAATGCTGTAACAATGAGAAACATAAGGAGAAGGTTATGATGTCACGTGCTATAAAACAAGAAGAGATCTGCAGTTGCAAGACTGGTTTATGTACCACAGATCTCTGTTACTGCCACGCCGTACGTTTTTTTTTTTCGTTTTTTTCCGTTTTCGATTGGTTTGCTCTGCTTTTTATTTTCGTGAAACGATTCTTATTGAATGAAACCTTTTTTTCTTTTTTTGGGGGATAAGTACAAACGAGGTTGCTGGGAGGACTGTGACTGTGAAGGATGTAGCAATATCTATGGTTCTAAACCGAAATGAAGGTAAGATTCGGAGAAAAGTAATCGAACTAACTGTTACTAAATACTAAGTGATCTTTATTTAATACAAATGATGCATAAATCTCTCTGATTTATGGTTCAGTATGACTGTGTCGGTGAAAAATCGAAGAGCTGCCCGTAGTTGAAGAATCGAAGAGCTGTTTCGGAAGTTGAAGAATTTTACGCGTAATCTTGTGCATTAAACAGATTTAGTTGTGTGTAAATTTGTTGTTTCATAAACTTTAGTGAATTGCTGCTAAGTATAGTGAATGTTCATAAACTACTGCTGAGTCATGATCATTAGTTCTATTGGATTAACTGTTCTTCCAAGTTTCAAGGGAAAATAATCACAAAAAATAACATGTCTTTCTAAATAATTTATAACTATATCAATATTATTGTTTATTGTTATTATATGTTAACAAAGAAAAAATAGAATTTTCATTTTTTTTTCATTGTGTTGGATCCAAAATTTTTCTAATTTTAAGAAAAATCTTTTTGTACCAATTTCCAAAAAATGCGATTTTTTTTTTTCGTTTTTCGAAATATTTGAAATAAAATCGAAATTAAGTTTTTGCTTAACGAAAAAATATATAGTATTTTGTTGTTTTGGATACAAAAATTTCGTATTAAAAAAAAACAAATTCGTACTAATCTCTAATAGTATGATTTTTTTTCATTTTTTGAAAAATATCTGGAACAAAATCGAAATTATTTTTTACTGGAAGGAAAAAATATGGATTTTTTTTTTTTCGTTGTCTTGGATCCAAAAATTTCCGATTTAAAAAAACAAATTCATACTAATTTCCAAAATAATGATTTTTTTTTTCATTTTTCAAAAAATACTTGAAACAAAATCGAAATAATTTTTTTACTTAACGGAGAGTACTTGTAGAAGGTACATTGCATGTTACGGTACTATTTCCGTGTAAGAACGGGCATATATGTGTGTGTCTGATGTTGGCTATTGCATAGTTTGAAATCGAAGAATTTTCTGATGTTGGCTATTGCATAGTTTGAAATCGAAGAACGTTACCATGGTAATCTGGCATAGGTCCATCAAAACTATTTTTTTTGTTTGCAAATAGGTCCGAACAAAAATCAAATTTTCACATTCCGTAATTTTATTATGAACATCATGTAAAGATAGAAAAATGAATATTTATTTTGCCATAATTTCAAAATTTAGAGTACGTGTTCAAATTGAAAATGTAAAATTCAACTTTCAAACTAAACACAACCGAAGTCTATCTGCAACATTCGTAAGTGATATTTAGTGAATAATACGAAGCTACTAATTATTCGACGAGCAAACCTAATACGAAGCTACTAATTATTCCACGAACAAAACTAACAAAACGAAAATATCGCATTCTCGGATTCTCGTACTACTGTTGAGGAGGAACATCAAAATGCATGTTGATGTGTGTGTGTACGTGAGTGTGGATGTGGACTTGGATTTGGCGATTCTCGTCTTTCTCTTCCTTCGAACTGAAAAGCAAAGAAAATGCTTCAATAAAAATTGTATCATTGTAATAATACTACGTCTTATAACACAATAACCACCACAAACGCATATATATAGTATGAATACATCTCGCGAGCGAAAATTGAGTTCAAACAGAAAAGCCCGTTTTTTATGAAATTTCTGAAAGATCGATCCACAGGGTTGCATGCATACTGTATACATGTATTATTTACAAGGTTGTAAAAAGCGGTAATCGGGTCGGAGGCGGTCAGGGACCGACTCACGATTAATCGGTGCGGCGGTGATTAATCGGTGATAAATCGGAAATAAATCGGTTTTTAAAATTTAATATAATATATTTCTAGATATTATTTATAAATACTCAAAACATATATAAAAAGATATTTAAACATAGTTATATCTCCATCATGTATATATCTTAATAAAATAATAAAAATTTAATAATAATAAGATCATAATACATAAATATCCTTGTAAAATATAAATAAAAAATCAATTTTTTTGAATTTACATTTATTCTTGAACATTTCTAACATACATCATTAGTTCTTTAACAATAACAGTTTACATAAAAAAAAAAAAAAACATAAGTTCATATTTTGTTTATTAAAATCCCAACTTTTATTTTGAATTATTTAAAAAAAAAAAAAAAAAAAAAAAAAACCGATTTTTGGCCGATTTTTGCCACCGAAGTTTGACCCGCCATAAAGGTTTGACCGCCTCGGATCGCCTCAAACGGTTTTTGACCGCCTCCGCCTCAGAGACCGATTAATCGGCCGCCTCGACCGATTTTTAGAACACTAATTATTTAGCGTATAATCAGGATATTCATGAATATAACAATTCGAACTTCGTAAAGAGCAAGTAGTGAAAAAGAAACGAAGTTTGAACTAATTAAAAATTACAAATAAAAAAATTACATAATTTATCGGTTACCTCAAATCCGCCTCCAGCGTTGACTTTGGCTTTGACTTTGACCGTTCTTCGACGTGTGCAATATAAGTTAAGGGTTTCTTATCCCATCTTTGGTCCCTTCCGAGAAGGGGGCCAATGCCCCTGTAAATAATAATAATTATAATTATAATTATTATAAAACATAACATAAATAATAAGAAATCTGAAAAGTGTAGCAACAAAACAAAACCTCACCTCATACGAAGGAAGATGTCGAACTTGTTGGCAAGGGCTCCTTGCACCAAGAGCTTATTATCCGAATCGTATGTGAACACGATTCGGACACACGGTAATATGGTAATATGCATATAGTTTCTTGCCCGTGAAATAGCCATTGCTCACAACCCTATACTGTTGATCCCAGATCGATGAGTGTACGACGAACCCTTTTGTGTTCGGAGGCACATCTTTCAACGGGAAAAGATACAATCCGGCGATTGGTTGGAACCCGATCGTCTTATCCGTTAGGTTTACCAATTCTGTGATAAACAAAACCATCTCTCTCTCTCTCTAACTCTCTAACTATGAAAATATATATATAATTCAATCAATTTTTCTGCGTCGAGATAATGATTTTAGGTTATATCGTACATATATATATATAGACAGAGAGAGATTCATGTTAAGGTCGAAGAGAGAGTCCTGCTCAAAAACGAGGAGAGAGAGAGAGAGAGAGTTTCTTGTTGAGAAAAGAGTCCTGTTCTTCTATATATATAGAGAGAGAGAGACGTGAGTGTTCATGATTTGGGGGCTTAATTCCACTTTGCACCCTTAAAATATACCATTTTGGCACTGTGCACTCTCGAAAAAAATTAATAGCACTTTGCACCCCCGAAACACAATAAATCATGCATAATGCACCCCAAATGAATTTTTAAAGCTAATAAATGTAATTTAATATTTTTTGTGGCATTTTTTAGGATGAATAATGTCAATTTTTATTAATTCATCAATTATTTTGAAACTATAAAGCGCATAAATAAAAATACATCTCTTCAACATATTTAAAAATTATACTTTTTATCCCAAAAAAATATTTTACGAAAACAAAATCCTTCAGCTATTTCGTTATCAAGTTATCTGAAAATCATATTTTCTTCCAAATATTTTTACCTAATATTTCCACTAGTTACAATAAAAAAATACATCAATATAATTGAATAATTTAGTGATAAAAAATTATTTTATTTTATTTTGTAAGATAATCCGGTGTTTTTTTTTTCTCATTATGTGTGCTCGAAATTAGGTTGTAGGTTGAAGAAAATAGTATTTATTTATTTATTTTGCATCCCCAATAAAAAAAAAACACCAATAAAAAATAAAATTGCCTTCATTTTTCAATTCAGGGTGCATTGTGAATGATTTATTGTGTTTTGAGGGTGCAAAGTGCTATTATTGTTTTTCAAGGGTGCAAAGTGCCAAAAGGCTCCATTTCAAGGGTGCGAAGTGGAATTAAGCCTGATTTGGGATGTCGCAAATAAATAGGAAACTACTACATATTTTGTGGGAACTAAAAATAAATAAAAAATAATATTATATATATATATATATATATATATATATATATATATATATATATATATATATATATATTTTAGGGTAATATGCTATGAGTCCCTCAAATGAAGAGAGTCCTCAAATATTGATGAAGCAACACCCGATAATCTCTTAGTCCTGTAATTGGCTAAGCTTATAAGATGTTAAAATGAGCTTATAAGATGTTTTAGACCTTATAAATTCTTCCAAAGTGTTTGGTAATTTTTTTAAAAAAATCTTATTTAAAAAAAAAATAAGTTGTTGGAGAACAAATATGATATTTTTAAATAAATTTATCTACCCGACCTTTTTTATTTAAGATCTTATAATGAGTAAAAATGGGAAATAAGCTTATTATCTCAACACTCTAAAAATTAATCCTAAAAATAAGATGTAACAGCTTATCAGCTCTTAAAACATCTTATCAGACGTAAGAGCTTATCAGCTGTTTAAAATAAGCTTAGCCAAACACCCTCGAAATCTAATTTGAACTAAATGACAAGTTCAAATTCATTTTTTTAATTAAATCTTTAATTTGAAATAATATATGGGTCACATCCCTAATTTTTTTATCCATATTTTGCCCTTTTACCCTAAATTATATAACCTATATATTCACATTTCTCCAATTCAGATTTATTTCGTTCTTTTGGTTTTTCTCACGTTCTCTCTCTTCCTCCATCTCTCACACGTTCTATGTATCTCTTTTTCAATCCCTTTTTTTTTCTCTCTCTCTCACCTCTCTATCCCCATACCTCTCTCTTGCTAATTAATTCGGTAGTAGCCGAGCCAGGGGTTGTGGTGGAAGGGGCGGCGGCGGCGGGCTTTGATCGAGGCGGCGGGCTGTGGTGGTTGAGATGGCGGCGAGGGGTTGTGGTAGTCGAGGCGGCGGCGGGGGCTGTGATGGTTGAGTCGGCGGCGGCGATTGTGGTGGTCTAGGCGGCGGGCTGTGGTGGTCGAGGCGGCGGCGGGGCTGTGGTGGTTGAGGCGGCAGCGGCGGACTGTGGTGGTCAAGGCGGCGGGCTGTGGTGGTCGAGATGGCGGTGAGGGGTTGTGGCGGAGGGATGTGGTTATGGTGGAGATTTGATCTTGGAGATTTTGTTTGATTTGGGTTCAAAATCGTAAATCTAGGTTTTCCCAAAGTTGATAAATGACTACGGTTGCGACGGATGCAAACGTTGGCGGCTAGGGTTTGACGGTTCCTGCATTGACGACTAGGGTTGGCGAGGATTGCGTGTTTGTTGGCTGCTAAGGTTTGGTAGTACATCGTAGTAGACCATAGTGCACCGTAGTATACCATAGTCTACTATAATATTACAACTAATAAAATATTAAAAAAGAAATATATATTTATATATATATATATATATATATATATATATATATATATATATATATATATATATATATATATATATATATTTTGTGTATATATATGTGT